CCCACCCCCGCCACAACCGCAGGCTTTGCCCCACCCTGGAAAGAGAAAAGCAGGATTAATCCCAGCAACAGAAGCAAGCTCTGAATGAGACCTGAGAGGCAGAACTAGATACAGCAGATTTTACGATTCTGAAGAATAAGAAGTAAAGGGAACGGCAGGTTACACTTTCTTCTTTCTAACCCTAACCCTACAGTTAAATCCTCACTTTTGCTTGACTGGCCTGTTAAATAATTTTCACCTGAACCTCTAGCCAGTCTGTGGCCGCCTCCACCCTTTCGAGGTTACACAACAAGTCCCAGGTGAGCCAAGTTCAGAGCAGCCGGGAGCAGGTGAGGTCAGAAAGGCTCGGCCCCGGCGAGGGCTGTTTCTAAAGTGCTCAGACGTTTGAGTCACAGATGACAGACAGAGGGGGACAGAGGGGGACAGAGGGGGACAGAGGGGGACAGAGGGGCACGTACGGCTCTCCTCCGGCAGGGGTCCTCCTGGCCGGTGCATTCGCTGGAGGAGGTCTGGCTCAGGAGGTGTTCGTGGGACCCGCTGCTGCCCAGGCTCCCGTAGCCGCTGGAGCTGCTGTGTGGCACAGGCTGGGGAGACAGCAACAGAAGGACTCTGGACGGGCTGGGGTGCGCCCGCCTTCTCTCAGAGGTGCCGCAACCTGCCCGGGGGCCCTCGGCGGGGACCAGGTGGGGCCGGGCTTGGACCCAGGGTCAGGCTGCAGTGGGCTCCCAGGCTCAACCCACGGGGCGGTCCCGGATCCCAATCCCCAGGAGACTCCACCAACAGGGAGTCCATGGCCACGGGGCTTGGAAACAAAACAAGGTGCCTGACAGTTCCCACAGCCCCCGGAACCGAGGGGCAGGAGGCCACTCCTCGTGGGGCCAACATGCTTGCAGGAATCTGTCTTGAGTGCTGTGTCCCCAGGGACAGGGAGGGGCGTCCTCAGTTCCCCCTGGGGCCAGCGCGACGTCCCATGTTGCAGGGATGCCCCCACCCCCTTCCACCCACGGGGGTCACGTGTGGGCTGGCGCCTGGGACGTGGGGACTGGGCTGGGGTGCTCCCTTCAGCCACTTGCCCAGAGCTGTGGTTCAGACACAGACGCCCTGAATGTGTGAGGCGGGGGCAGCCCCCATGCGGGCAAGGCCCACGTGGGAGGGACAGAGACCACCACCACGCGCAGCAGGGCGCAGGGCAGAGCTGGAAGGAGGAAAAGGGCCTGAGAACCGGGGGATCTTCCATTAAAATTTCCATACACATACCTTTCTTCTTTTTCTAAATGCAAATAGCATTCTGCACCAAACTCAGTTTTTTATCAATGACTGTATCTTACTCTTGAATATCTATATAAATATAATTACTCTTAAAGAAGTCTTATCTTTCTTACTGTTGTATGAGCATACATGGCTTATTTATGCTTTACTCACAAATACATTTTGAACAACAAAAAAAGTTCTTAAAATGACTTGTTGAATGAATGCAATAGAGAAATCTTTAAAAACCAAATACCATATATTGTCGTATACGATGACTATAAAAAGAAACTGTTTAACTCATAAGTGCGACTAACAGACTCACAAACTCTACATGGAAAATTGTTTCCTGGGGAGACCTTCAAGACAGCAGAGGAGTAAGACATGGAGATCACCTTCCTCCCCACAAATACATCAGAAATACATCTACATGTGGAACAACTCCTACAGAACATCTCCTGAACGCTGGCAGAAGACCTCAGACTTCCCAAAAGGCAAGAAACTCCCCATGTACCCGGGTAGGGAAAAGAAAAAAGAAAAAACAGAGACAAAAGAATAGGAACGAGACCTGCACCAGTGGGAGGGAGCTGTGAAGGAGGAAAGGTTTCCACACCCTAGGAAGCCCCTTGGCGGGGGGGGGCTGCGGGGGGGGGGGGGGGGGGGGGTGGGGGGCCCCCAGGCCACAGGGCAGCTCTGGGTTGCCTGCGGGGGCAGGAGGGAGGACGTGCAGGCAGCACACCCACCTGCAGCAGCAGCCGGTGGATCTGCTCCGTGAGCTCCTGGGGGCCGGGCTGCAGGGCCTGCTCCTCCACACGCGGCTGAGCCGAGAACACGTCCTCATTCAAAGGCCCCCTGCGTGGTTTTCGTTTGTCTCTGTGAGTCGGGGCCCCGCCCTCCTCTGCAGACCCCTGGCCCACCACCTGCCTCCCCCCCTCCCCCGCTCACTGCTCTGCCTGAACCGAGGCCGGGGGGCCCCCCTGGGGGCAGGGGGCAGGTCAGCACAGGCACGTGGTGGGAGGTGACCGGGGTCCTGGTCTCCCAGCCCCCCGGGCACTGGGGGCACTCACACCCTGACTCTGTGTCTCCCGATGACGAAGGAGATCTGCCTGCTCCACGGGTTGATGAAGCTGGACCAGCTGGTGTCCAGTGTGACGTACTCCCCATTCCGGGCACGGAACCGGATGGGGGAATAGTCGAAAGGCTGCCCGCCAGACTGCACGACTAGGAGAGCGAAAACAGAGTTCAGGGAGTGAAGAGATTCAACCGGTGTTCGCGGTACAAGACAAGACATGTGGAGATGCTCTTGATTCTGGAATCATCTGAAAACTTGGGAGGTGCCAATACCTCTTCAAAGCCACCACTTTCAATCCTCCGTCTTGCTTTAAATTGCGACCGGGGACTGTTTGCGGCAGTGTCCTTACACGTTTTAGGACACACTTCCCCGCGAGCCTCACAGGTCTGCTGCCAGTGGGACGCTCAGTGTCACCTGTGTCGGTGAAGCCTGGGCTTGCTGGGGACATGTGTCGTCCAGCCCCTGGCCTGGGCAGACCACCCCCCAACCCCCCCCACTGCAGCTGACCCTGTCTCTCCTCCTCCCGCCTGCTGGCGAAGCCAATGGTAAAAGATGAGAGGCCAAGGACTCAGGCCGAGGGCGACTCTCAACCAACCGACAGTGCCAGGACTCAGGCAGGGGGCGGGGCACCCCTTGCCCGCAGCCCACTGGACCCCTCCCAGTGGGTGCTGACCTCGGGAAGACACTCCCAGAGTGTGCTAGCTTTGTCCATGCCCCCGGGAAGGACCGTGAGAAGGGGACCTACTCTTTTTGTGGATGGCAAGCATCAGGGGCCTGTCGCTGGGGTGCAGCTGCACGAGCACAGGGGTCTCGATCAGGTCCTGGGGCAGGTGGCCCAGGAGGGGGACCGCCCTGCAAAGCAAGCGCACACAGGGTCATGGCTGCGCTTCAGGACACGAGCCAGAACACAGCCTCCAAACGGGGCAGCCGACCATCTCCAGGAACGAGTCTGACTCCAAATTCCCCAAAGACCAAAATGTGGGTCTCATGCTAACAAAGAAACAGTCAGTCTTCTAACTAATTAGCAAACAGACTACGGCAGCATCGCCGAGGGTCTGCGGTAGGAAATAAGGCCCTACAAGCCCCTGCCCGTTACAGGCTCAGTGCTCTAGCTCTGCGTCTGATTTCCTCAATCAATCATGACAATGCTGTTTTCTTCTCCTAAGGCCTTTTTCTTGTTTTGTGTCGTTCGTGAGTTTGGCTAGATGTGGCCTGACATGGACTTTTTTTTTTTCACAAGTCTGCCGGGACCAGGAAAACCCCGCCCCTGTGAGTCTTTTCCAGCTCAAGGTGTTCTGCTCCAGCTCTAAGTGCGGTCACTGTGTCCGGCCCAATTGACCGCGGCTCCCCAGGAGTGGCCACCACGGGCTGGGGACCTTTGCTCTGTGCCCGTCAGGGCTTCCCCGGGAGCTGCTGTTTTGCTTTTTTCTGGCCAATGTCTTGCACTGAACTTCTGCAGAGTCCCCCTTCCCTCTGTCGTGTCCCGTCCTGTGTGTCCAGCACCCGCTGCCGTCCCCGCTCAGTTGCCGTCCCCGCTTCTGAGCTGCAGCTCGGCCTTCCCCTTCTCAGGCCCATCTTCTTTCATCTCAACAGCTGTTTTCCCAAACCCTTCTGCTCTGGTGGAGGACGTCCTCCTGCATCGTTAGAGCGAAGGCTGCCTGTTCTGTGCGGGGCAGGACTTCCTTACGGGCCCGGCGCCATCCTTGGATTCCCTCCTCCTCGTCCACGGCATGCTCTCTGGGCCTCGTGTCTTCCTTTGCACAGGATGTACAGGATGTCCCTGGCCAAGGCCTGGCTGGAGGAGAGGGGGGAGCGCCGGCCAGCCTGGGCTCGTGGGCTGGGCTGCCCACTGGGCTTTGCTGAGGAAGGCTCTGCAGCCTGCTGGCCCGTAACGACCTGCTCACCAGCCCTCCTGCACACAAATGAGTGGGCACCTGGGGCAGCTGCAGATAGGAGTTCTTAGTCTTTTGGAGGAATAAAAATTATCCTGGGATTGCTACACAAATGCAGCTCCCAGTCCCCCGCCTTCAAGATCTTGTTGGGCAGGGCTGGGCGGGGCCTAGGAACCTGCACCTCGACACTGTCCCTCCGGAGATTCTGCCGCAGGTGGCCGGCAGGGCACACCCGAGCAGTCAGGGGCTGGTGGAGGCTGATGGGCCCTGGCTGCCCAAGAGCAGAACTTGTCCAGCAGGCCCCGTGGCCTGCATCCGAGGGGGCACCTCGTGTCCCCAGACCAGGTGCAGGCAGCGAGGAGGTCCTGACCCTCCACGGATGCCACTGCATGAAGCCCAGCGTGTTTCCCGTGTGTCTTCCCGGGAGACTTCTCCCCGATCACTGCCGGCAGCCGCGGCATTCCCTGCGTCTTCGTGCGTCTGCCCAGGAGCCGGGGAGTCGCACAGGGCCCTTGACCTGACGCCAGAGAACCCAGAGCCCTCTCAGAATGGTCCATGCTCCCGACTCCAGCGGGGCCATGGGCACCAGCTACAGCACCCTGGGTGGGAGACGCAGGAGGGGAGTCCGAGTGGGCTCTGGGCAGAGGTACGAGGTGGCCCCCTCACTGTAGCAGCCTGTGGCACGCAGGCTGCAAGATGCACTTGTGCTGGGATCCTGCCAAGGGTGTCCTAACACTGCCCTAGGCACACGGTCCCTGGTTGTACCAGCCTTTACTCATGTGCCCAGTTTTTGAAACGGGTTTATTAAACAAGGTAATAAAGACAGGCTCAGTTAGAATGACGACCAGCTCCCTAGAATGCCCCATCTACATAGCGTCCATACCTTAGGAGGTTTTCAGTGTAATTCCGTAATTATCTCATTGTCTATGTATACTTAAATGTTTTCGTTGATTATTACCCATAACATGTAGCCTTAGCTTTAGCTAAACAGCTTCAGCGTCAAAAACATGAAAATTGATTGAGCTTTATTTAGTTATTAAGTAACTACCACGATAATGCTGAAACACAAAATATCTGGGGAGAGGGGGCGACCGGCTGACATAAAGGATGCGATACTGACTTCAAGGCCAGGACCGCGGGAGAGGCGAGCGCTGGCAGGGGGACGGCGCTGCATCGCTTACCTTTCGTCCACGTCCTGGAACAAACAATTTGGCGAATGTGTGGTCGTAAAAATTCTCTTTTCAGGAGGGATTCTAGGGGCTGAAAGAAAAGAATTTTGCACGGATTTCTGACTCTAAGACATACGTACTTTATGTAGTCACACTACAACTACTGGAAAACATGTGTTGACAGATTCAGAACGATAGGGAGCTAGAGAAAATATTAACAGTGGACTCTGAACAACGGAGCACGTCCTGAAGGGTGAAGAACAGACCCTATGCTTGGTGACCACCAGCCAGACCTTCTCAGCTTCTTTGTGGACCAGTTTTAGTCTAGAAAGCTAGGAATTGCCATGTTAGCAGACCACGTGGTGAGGTTTAGGCTTCTTTCAGCAAAATCATGCTGGAAGGCCATCTTCATGATGTTTAAGATACAACAAGAGTGAACTGAACAAATTATATTCTTTAAAGGAGTAAAGTACTTGGATTCAAAATTCTCAGCAAACGTCATTATATTGGGACTTCACAGTTTCTAAGGTGGGCAGAGGTGACAAGAGTAATTTTCATAAAGGAAGTCACATATGCAGAATATTCCTCAACTACCAAATTCATGGACAAAACATTCAAAATTCCAAAACTTTTCATTCTTGAAGGAGACTCTGATCATTTTGGGGAATAACTTGCTGAGATCTGAGTAACCCCTCTAAAGCTTTACTGAATATTTAGAAGAGAATGTTCTATATGTGGGAATCCATCAAACATCTGAAAGAAACTCATATACCTAAAACATTTCTATCACTTTTAAGAAATGCCTTTAAAAAAAAGACATCATTAACCACTGAGAGACAATTATAACTACAATTAAACCTGGACTAAACTGGACCCGTGTGGTTCAGGACTTACAGATGGCCCTGCTTTCAGAGAATTTTGAAATCTCGTGACTTGCTGAGTCGCCACGGTGAGGACCTAGGTTCGTGGCCAGCGCGAGGCCGTGCCACAAGCAAGCCTATGAGGAGGGGCTGCTGGAAGGATACAAGCAGCGTGGCAAAGCGCCTTGGGTCCTTTGGGAGGGGGTGGCCTGAGGAGCCAGCAGGTCCAGAAAAGGACACCTGGTAAGGTTAGCCTGCTGTGATGACTGGGTTTCTACAGGCAGAGGTGGAGGGGAGGAGCCCTAGGAGAGGAAACAGCAGGACAGAGACTGGGGGTCAGGGGAACGCTGGGCTCTGAAGGCTCCACAGCTGGCCTGCAGAAGCCAGGCTGGACCGGAGGGTGGGACACCCAGCAGGAGGTGGGACGGACCAAGATGAGCAGGGAGGAGTGCCCAGCACTTACTTCTTAGGCGGTGGCTCCTTCGGGGTTCCGCACCTCAGAGGCCGGGGAGTGCGAGGACAGAAGGGACGTGGGCCCTGGACCCACTGAGGCTACGTGGACGGAAGGCCGTGGCCAGGGAAAGGGGAAGGCATCCACAGTCCAGCGACAGGCTGGACCCAGGTTAGAGATGCCACGGCCCGGAACCTTTAGCCGACAAGGGGCAGTGGTGTGGATGGGACTACAGGGAGGGCCAGGTGACAAAGGTGGGTGCCAAGTCTCGAGGGAGATGGAGGCTCTGCCCGAGGCTGGGGAGAGGCAGGGGCCGGGAGCCCACCTCACACACATGTATCTGAACCACGGGAGGAAGTGAGGGAGCGGCCTGGGCCAGCTGTTACCTTCGTAGCCCGAGTGCACCCTCTCTGCCAGCAGCACGCAGCACAACTGGCTCTCGGTGCCCTGCTGGTCGCGCACCTGGGCCAGGTAGGGCGTCATGCGGAACGGGTGGTAGCGGATTTCGCTCTCGTGGTTTTTGCCGACACTGCAGAGGAGGGCACGATGAGAGGTTTGGGATTACGACCGAAGGAGTCATCCTTTATTGCTGGTTACCTCTCCCCCAGCAGCAGCTGTTAGGTCTCAGCAATCCTTTTATTTATTGCATGGACGCCTGCAGAGCAGAGCCAGGCCCCTCACCTGGGGACCCAGGCCGAGCCGGACGTGCTCCCTCGGTCTGTGGTCTGTGCCTCTGTCCCGCCCGAGGGTCTGGAACCCCCAACCCTGCTCCTCTGTCCTCACCCTCAGACGTCCGGTGACAGTGAGGGGTCAATTGGAGAGTCACCAGCCTGAGCCATGGGAGCTTCAGGGGCCCTTCTCTGGAGTAGTTTGCATTTTAATTGGGGAGAGGATGCTGCTCCAACAGTGGGGTCCCAGCCCCAGCTTCTGAGGGTGCCAGTGTCTGGCCAGGGTCACTCCTGATACTGCAGCTGGATGCTCAACTGGTCACTCGATTTGGGGCCAAAAACCTGTTGGGAAAGCTATGGGGCTCTCCCTGAAAAAACGTACACTTGAACCAAAGGCCACACGTGCTTCCGGGGTCCTCGCGGAGCAGGGGGTTCATGCCTTCCCAGGTGGGGGCTGCCGGCCAGTTTCCCGGGTCACGGGCGGCAAGTCCGGGCTCCCCAGGCCGACACTCCCCACAAGGAGCAGGCAAACCGCTCCGTCGTTGACCAGGCTGTCTTAATATCTTGTGCACATTTAAAACACGGCTCAGGAATTCCCTGGCGGTCCAGTGGTTAGGTCTCGGCGCTTTCACTGTCGGGGACTGGGTTCAATCCCGAGTCAGGGAACTAAGATTCCACAAGCCGAGTGGCGCCCCCCCTCCCCAAACAAAACAAATAACTCCACTTATGGAAATGTGTTTTCACGCGGACTTTTCAGGAACACTCATGCTGTGTGGCAGGGATACTCCTGCAGCACCTCAGCCCCAAAGAACGGGGCCTGGGCAGGCTTGTGGCCTCGGCTGGTGGCATGCGGAAGGCACCCCTGCACCTCCTCCGCCTTCACGAGAGGCCCTCAGGATGAAACGTCTGTGCAATGAAATTCAGGAAAAGCTGGGCTTACCTGACGCGGCAAAAGAAAGATTTCTCCTCCGTGCATTCTTGAGTAAAAGAGTCTAAAAGAAAAGGCCCCAGTCACTCACCCAGTTACACCACTGACCAGGGACAGTGCTTTTATTTCCCACAGACCAGGCAGAAGCAGGAGAATCGAGAGTCAAGGTGTGATGCAGATTTACCTGGCACCGAGCAGAGCCCTTAGGTTAGAGACCTTGTACCACAGTTCTGACTTAGGAAAGGTCTATTTCACGAGCGTGCACTCACCAAATTATGCCGTGCTAAAAGCGCTGCTACAAACACACTAACTCATGACCAATTTACCTGTGGAAGACGTACTGACTGACGTGCAGAATTTTTGCATATAAAGCCCTGGACATTCCAACCTACATATTTTGGGGGATATTTAATTCTAATAGAAGCAACTCAGGGCATTTCACAGCTTACATCATCCTTTTCCTAAATATTAACTTACTTTAACATTTAAAATGTCTATAGTAAAAACAAGAGTTCGACTGGGTGACCTCATCAGAGATGGCGGAATGGTGCTTCCACAATAAACGCACTTTAGAAAAAGAAAATCTTAGACTCTCTGGTCCTTCACGTAAAGCTTCCTCTACTCAAAAGAAATGAGGAAAAGTAGATGATCGCCGGTTGGGGAAAATGATATAAAATTTCCGGCCTGGAAAGGCCTTCAAGAAGTCACCTGGTCCTTCTTTTCTATTCAGACAAAAATTCACTGGCAAGCATCCTGGGGAGATGGCGCCGGCCTGTTCGTGCTGTGAATCCACACGCAGAGCTGCCTCCCTGCCTCCACGCAGTGACCCAGCATTGACAGGTCCTAGTAACGTGCACCACAAACTTTAGTGATCTGACCGCACAGCCCTTGGGCTGGGACTTTGGGAGAAAGCAGACAGCTCTACCTCTGAAACTCGAGGTGAGTGTCTCCTCCTTTAATGAGTCAACCCTAAAGCAAACCGCGCTTCTGGCCCCAGGTCGTCTGTCGTCAGGGAGGAACAGCTGCTGAAAGGTGGCTGTGACAGTGACGGCCCCGCTGCCGGCTGCCTGGGAGCAAGGGGACGCGGGGAGCACCATGGCGTGGAGGGACCCAAGATCCAGGGGGTGGTGACAGTGGGCTGAGGAGCGTTTCGACGTGAGCAGAGATGCTGACCCAGGAGCCAAGGACAAAATGGGAGTCAGCTTTGGGTGACGCGGCCAGGGCTGGCTCTTGGTTAAGATCACGACTGAGGCCCAGCTTTTCTGGGGTGACTCCCGGCCCCATCCATTTCCTGCTCGTCTCTCTTGGCTTCTCCTCTTTGGGTCCGTCTCAGCTCTGAGCAATCAGAGCCCAACGAGGGGCTAATGACAGTCTAGGTGCAGGTGGACAGATGCTGCAGGACTTACGCTGTCGGCCACCTGGTCACTGAAAGGCCTGAGCTGGTGGGGACCCTCTCCTCTCCAGTACCTTCTGCCAGGACCCCGTGCCATGTTTCTGCTGAGACTTGTCTGGTCAACCGGTCCCCTCCTGCACTCACTCATGTGAAGGCCCATGCTGGTCACGAGAGAGCTTCCATGCCTTCCAGACGCAAAGTCTCCCCAACCATGTTGCAGGAGGACAAGGACACACGACACTTGACCGTGAGAGCCCTGTGGCCAGGAACATGGGGGCGGGTGGGGGACCCGCGGTCCGAGGAAGCAGCCACCTGGGCGCAGACTGGGGCCTGAAGCGCCTGGAAGGCCGGGCTCTGAGCCCGGGAGGAGGGCGCGGCCTCTGGCGGAGGTGAAGAGCCCCCCGCTATGCCGACATCGCTGCACCACCTGCAGGGAGCCTTCCAGGTGTACCTCCGTCCTTCCCCCGACCCTGCAGCCGCATGTCCAGGCTCCAGCTCCCATGAACTTCCTTTTCTAAAATGCCTGGCGTGTCTTAGAATCTTCTGAAGCAGTCTCTTCCCTTTCTGAAATTTATGAAAAGACTCTTTTCTCTCTCTAAATGGATTCTGAGCAAACCACCTTTAATCTTGCACTGGGACAGACAGGGCAGCCTCAGGCCCCTTCACGGGGGCCTACTGCAGGCCTCCGGCGGAGGGGAGGTGGGCAGCAGCCCCACGTCGGGGCGGCCCCGCCCGGCCCCCTCCCCATGCCGCCTGTGGAGAAGCACAAGGCAGCCCGGGCCACGGGGCCTCACCTGCTCGGCGGCGGACACCCCAGCGCGGCAGCTTGCATGGCGTGGTGCAGCTGTGGAACACACCCACGTCATGGGGCGCCAGGAACTCCACGAACTTGGTGTCGCGGAAGGTGCCCCGCTTACAGTGGAAGATGGAGACCACTTGGTCAGAGATGTACAGGATTTTCCCGGTCACCAGGGACACGGCCGCGGCAAACATGTCCTGGAATGTAAAACACGATTCTGGTGAGGCCGGGCTGGAGGGGACTGGACAGGTCACCCTCCCCCGAGGGGCAGGGAATCGGGGCTGACAGACGGGAAGGGAGCAGGATGCGTGAAGGGTCAGGGGAAGACTCTGGGCCCCTCTCCTCAGCCCTGACGAGGATAACTCTGCCTCCCCTCTTACATATATTGGGGTCCCAGGGGGATAGTATCTGAAAAAACACATCAGGGCTCCACCGCAAAAAGGAACCCCAGCTGTGCTGATTCCCTGCAGCTGTCACCTGCTCGGCCTTCTGGGCATGGAGCTCCCTGGCGTCCAGCCTGGGTGATTCGGGAGGGGGAAGGGGGCCTCTTCCTCTCTTTCCCGGGGCTCAGGCCTGCCTGGGGGGCTGGAGGCCTCAGGCCCCCTGGCCGACCATGGGCTTTCCCCAGGCTGGCTGGCCCTCTGAGCTCGGGGTGGGGCTCCCTGGGGGTTAAGCTGCAGGGAGGGCACGAGAGGAAAGAGATGGGAAGGGCCGGGGAGTCCCATTCTGTAGGCCATCACTGCTGCGGTTCCACACCTCTGGGTCGCCACCGGCCCTCTGGTTTCCTCTCATTGACTGCGAGCTGGGGGTAACTCCCTCCCCTTCCCCAGGCCTCCAGGGAGGCCTCGCTTTTATGGGTTTCGCTTAGAAACGCAGGAGCCTGTGGAGTCTCAGGAAGCGCCCGCCCTGCAAGTGAGCTGACAGAGTCGCCCAGTGCGTCCCTTCCCCTCAGCCCCGCCCTCGGGCAAGGGGCGCTCACTCACACACTCGGGCTGTGGGGCGCAGTCAGCACAGAGGACAGCCCCAGAGAACAGCACAAGTCGGCAACACAGCCACCACTTTGGAATCCCTGACTTACTGTTTCTTTTAAGGAAGGAACTCATTTCCTGAAACTCCCAACCCTGCTGCTATGAAACCGAGGTTCAGCCAGCTCCCCTGGGGGAAGGCCTCGGCCACCTGAGCTGGGCCTCCTGGGGGAAGACCTTGGCCACCTGAGCTGGGCCTCCTGGGTGAAGGCCTTGGCCACCTGAGCTGGGCCTCCTGGGGGAAGACCTCGGCCACCTGAGCTGGGCCTCCTGGGGGAAGACCTTGGCCACCTGAGCTGAGCCTCCTGGGTGAAGGCCTCGGCCACCTGAGCTGGGCCTCCTGGGTGAAGGCCTCGGCCACCTGAGCTGAGCCTCCTGGGGGAAGACCTTGCTCGTTAGGACACTTACCGTGTTCTTCACGATGAACTCGGAGGTGATGCTCTCGATTTCCTCCACCGTGTAGGAGGGTACATGGGCGCTGCAGGGGTGGTCCTCACTGGACATCAGCAGCTGGTAGTACTCCTCATTGGCTGTAGGCGAGACCAAGGGGAGGGCTGAGGGCGGCCCTAACTCATGGCTGGGGCTCTACCTTTCTCATGAGAAAGTGGGCACAGAACACAGAGAAATGTGAAGGCTAGACAAACAGAAATCCAGGATCCTTTTCCCTGAAAAATCAGAAGGCCTTTGATTACAGAAATTTTTAAAATGATAAAGACACATTCTTTTCAGTAACACGACCACACGGTTCTACCTAAGCCTCACTTTCCCCAAAGGCCTGTAACCGCGACACAGCATCAATGTTTCCGCGCAGGAAAGCCGTGGCAGCCCCTGCATCTGCCCCCCCGGGGGTCAGACGCTCCCATCCAGACAGAATCGACTCTTAGAAACACCAGGCATGAGAAACAACCCTGTTTTCAGAATGAACTGTTCAGAACAGAACTGAAGACGAGGACCGCTCATCCCGGGACACCCCGTACAGGGTGACAAAGCTATCTCCACCCAGAGGGCAGCCCTCAGGCGAGTGGAACCCAGGATGCCCGACTTCAACAGCTAAACCGTGCTGAGGTGACCCCCGGCGTGGGTGTCCTGGGCCTGGTCTCCGGGGATGGGCTGTCGGCAGAACAGTGCACTGGAGATGCCGGCGCTCCCTCCACGGCGGTGCGTTCCTTACCTGCCCCGGAGACAGAGGCACCTGCATTTACCTGAGACCCAGGGAAGGGGCCCCAGCTCAATGGAAGGGCCAGCCACAGGAGCAACTGAAGGAAGACTGCACGCTATTGGAAGTTACGGCAGGGACCTGGAATTTATTGCAACGTAAAGCGTCTGAGCTTGATGACACAAGTCCTTTGGAATCTGCAGTGTTTGTTGGTGGATTCCTGCACTGCATCTGTGAAGAGTTCTGCACACACATCTCAGGTAAAAGCCTCAGTTGATTCCACTGACCGGCTCTGAAAGCTCTTACGAGTTCTTCCACCCAACAGTAAAACCTGAACGTACCCCCAGAGGGAAGCAGGACCTGGATCACGTGGGTCCTGTCACTGTGTGCCTGTGATGGAAAGGGGGCGCCTGGTCCTGCCCGCCCGCCTTCCTGGTGCAAAGACCACCACGATGGAAATTCACATATTTTTAGAAAAACAAGAAATGAACAGCCCAAGGTCTTGAATCTGGAGCAGCTCAAAAATACTGTCCTTTAAGGATAAGATCAGGCAATACCCTCCTTGTATCTTCTCCTTTTTTTGTTGCTATTTGTTTCCTTTTATTCCCCCTAACTTTATTTATTTATTTTTTTTGCGGTACGCGGGCCTCTCACTGTTGTGGCCTCTCCCGCTGCGGAGCACAGGCTCCGGACGTGCAGGCTCAGCGGCCATGGCTCACGGGCCCAGCCGCTCCGCGGCATGTGGGATCTTCCCGGACCGGGGCACGAACCCGCGTCCCTTGCATCGGGAGGCGGACTCTCAACCACTGTGCCACCAGGGAAGCCCCCCTCATGTTACTTTTTAAAGGAGGGGCAAGCCCTCAGCTAAATGCTGGGGGCTATTCACGTTGCCAGCATACACACACGTCACAACTCTCCAGCCAGAGCCTGGAAGGTGCTGGACGTTCCCGAACGTGACCTGACCCCAGCCCCGGGCACGAAAGCTTCATGTTGTAAATAGGTTTCTTTCATCAGCTGGTTTTCTACATGCTTTTTTTCCCTCTAAAAGTGCAACAGAAAACTTCCGATGAACTGAGATTTCCCACCAGCTGAGGTTTCATCAGACTCTTCCCCAGCCTCCTCCTGCTACTTCAGGACTGAATGTTAGAAAATCAGCACAACTGCAGCTCTAATGCGGGGAGACGTGAAACCGACTTCAGCACAACTGCAGCTCTAACGCGGGGAGACGTGAAACCGACTTCAGCACAACTGCAGCTCTAACGTGGGGAGACGTGAAACCGACTTCGGCACAACTGCAGCTCTAACGTGGGGAGACGTGAAACCGACTTCTACAGGTTGGAACAAACAGGTGAGGCGGACGTACCTTTCACCTGCTTCACGCTCCTCAGGGCGTACTTGAGGGTCAACAAGGTGCTGGCCTTCCCCTTGGCCCTCTTGTCCGCAGGGAGGTGGACCTTCAGCTCCTTCAGCGTTTTGATCAGCTCTTTGTGGGCGTCCACTTTGGTGGACTGCTCGCTGCTACGGAGTTAAAGAAAGACGTCAGTACCCTAAGTGCCCTTTTCAGAAGAAACGTGCCTCTGGTCCAGTTTCTCCACCAGGGCGCGAGGACACTGCACTCCACGTGTTCCTGGGTGTGCACGCAGGATGCAGCAGCCCCCAGCAGCTGTGACAACCACGAATATCTGCAGACATCGCCTCGTGTCTCTCACGGGGAGAGGAACTGCCCGGGAGAACCAGTGTTCTGACCCAGGTGAATGCTGGAGGGTGCCGTCCCCATTGCTGGTCGACCCACAGCCCGGCCAGCAGGCCCCACCGCTGAGCTCTGCCCACCCCCATCTCAGACAGAGAGGGAGACAGCGACGGAGACCCCAGAGGGCAGCACAGTGGTGTCCTGGGGCGAGGACATAAATGACGTGTGAAGGCCTTGGAGAGGAAAGGGGGTTTATAAGGAGGATCTTCAAACTCAAGGACGTGGAAGGGGCAGGAGGAGGGGCAGGGGGCACTTGCTGAGGGAGATGGGCCTGTTTAGACAGAGGGTACCGAGAGAGTGATGGGGTCGGGCCTCTGGGGTGGTGATGGCAAAGGCCCCATATGCCCAGGACAGAGATCTGTATCTTGCTCCGTGGGGATGTGAAAGCTTCTGTCAATATGAAATTAAGGACACGTTTGTTACAAACACGTAAAAAATAGTGAGTGTTCCAGATACATGTCTAAGACGCAGACAAGGTCTGCTAAGTGAGAGCTGAGCAGCTGCAGGTCTGGGGCAGCATCAGGGGCTGTGAGCGGCCCATGGGGACGGTCATCTGAAAGGGCGTGGCTGGGCTCACAAGGCCGACAGCTGCTCAGACTAACAGGTTCTAGCAGAAGCCTGAAAAAAGTTGCGTCACCCCCAAAACCTTATCTCATGACAAATCTTTCCATCTCCCTAAAGGCTCTAAATTGAGGGAGTTCTAATTGGTCTTACCTGCAGCCACTTGTGGACGGGTGGTCTTCAGACTTCACCATCATCACACTAAATGTACCTGGACTAAAAGAACAAAAAATAAAGGCCAAACTCAGAAGAGTGTATCCATCCACTTCTCCCCCCATCCACCCAGCGATGACGGGCTGGATTACACCACAGTAAGTCAATTAGGAAAAAATATGAGCTTAAGAGAAAAAGAACAAGAAACCTCTGGACACCGGAGAAACTAAATACTGGGGGATATAAACCCAAGACTAGAGGAGAAGTTCGTTTTCTATAAACCACGGGGCGTCGGTTCAGTAGCTGCTCGAGTGGTTCCCTGACTCTTCCACCTCCCAAGATCTGGTCACCATGCTACGTGTCTAGCTACTGGTGGTCTGACACCCCAAATCACCGTCATAAGGAAGGACAGACCCTAGCAAATTTTAGTTATTCTGAGTCAATAAGATTTTCAGAAGTCTTAAAAAACTTGGTCATCAAGATTTAAAGACTGCAAAAGCAATCGCAATAGCACGGAATGAGACACTGAGAAAACAAATGTCCAGCCTCGCCTTGGGGGCCTCAGACACACCCACCCCTGGCAGGTGCCGGGCGGCCCCACCAGCATCCCCAGCTCCCGGCCGCTGTCGTCACAGTTGCTGCCCCGTGAGTCCCGCCCCGTCGAGCCGTTCTCGTTGGTTTCATTCCCGCTTGTGCCATTGCTCATGTCCACGTCCTCCTGGAGGGGGGCTTGTCTGGGCCAGGGCTCCACAGTCTCCTTGGAAGGGTCACTGGGGCTGGGGGCGTAGTCAGTGTATCCATTCATGCTGGCTCCTGAGTGATGCTGGCAAACGAGAGAAGGTCATCAGATTCAGGGGGCAGGGGGTCGTGCAGCCATCAGGTGAAGTGCCCCTGGGAATCTTTATCCATGTTTCGCTGGAGGAGCCGGCAGCAGGTGCGGTCAATCGTGGGTCTTCTGCGCTCGAATCCACAGGGCTCCCACCTGCCATGAACTGCAAAGGTGCATGAATCAGGTGGCCGCAGCCCCAGACACCAAGTTGCTGACAGCCTCCCCAGGCGATGTGCGGGGGCAGCGGGGTTCAGAAATCTTGGCCATCACAAGTTACAGGAGGCCCTGGTACCAGGCTGCGGGCAGGGGCAGAGCCTGGAACCAGGCTGCGGGCCAGGGAGAAATGTGGCTTCGGGGAGCAGGCGTCACTGCGTGAGGAGGGCAGGGCGGCCGGGGCCCTTACAGCAGCAGGGGGTCCGGGCACAGTGGGGTCCAGCCGAGCGAGCGGGGTGGGGATGTGGAGGGACCAGTACGAGGCTGGCGTGGAGTTATCTGGGATTGACGAGGAGCCGCTGGAGCACTGGAAGCAGAGACTCCTATAACTTCGCTTTCATTTGGACAGCAAGTTTAGCTTTGGTGCTTTGGGGGTAGGTGGGTGGAGCAGGGCTGAGATGAGAGACCGACCAGTCACAGGCGGGGATGAGTAAAGACAGTGAGTAGCCAGGGCAGGAGGGGTTGACCAGAAGCCTAAGGACGGGAGACTTAGAGGTCACAGGGTAAAAGCAGGACCTGGGATGGTGCCCCACTGCGAGGTCCCGGGAGGAAGCAGGCACTCATGCACACCAGTGGAGAGATTGAGGAAGGCCTGGCACGAAAGGGTGTGGTCAGGGTTAAGGAAACTACAAATGATGTGCAGCTCAGGGGCAACCGGTTAGGGGGAGGGAGCTGTTATCTTCTCTGGGCCCGGAGCGGCAGGAAGAGGAGGGCTACTGAAACCAGAGGCGCCCAGACAACCCGCGGCCTGTGGGGGGCATCAACCTCCTGAGCTCGGTGGTCAGGAAGCCAGAAGGCAAAGGGACACGCTGACACAGTCCCCGAAGGCCAGCCTCGGTCACCGAGCAGTGGGGGAAGATCTGGAGGCCCCAGGCAGCGGCGCCTTCACCGAGGGGCGTCCCCAGAAAGCAGAATGTGCCCCTGCAGCTTTCCTGCGCTCAGGCACCTGGACCAGAGGCTGCAGGGAGGGCTTTATGGACACTGTGCTGAGGATGTGACACGTGCTGGCTCATGTAACCCTCATGATCACCATCCACGGCCCACCAGCATTCCCTTCTAGAGATGGGCAAACAGGCCGGTGAGCTGCCCAAGGCCACACACAGCAGGAGACAGTGCCGGATTCAGGCTCCCCCACCCGCCAAAGATGGGGACCCACGCAGAATCCAACCACATTGCTCTTTGGAAAACAGCAGGTCTGATCGGACCCTGTCTTGTTCATGAACCAGATAAACAGAAAAGAGCCAACATGCAGCTTCTGAAAAGAAGTGCGATGAAGACAAGATGCACACAACCTCCATGGCACGAGGAAACAAGCAAATTTAGGACAGCACCAACTCTGTACCATAAGCAAAAATCAAGAAATGACAGGTTCGATGAAACACGTAATGAAGGATGAGCTAAAGCTGCAGACTGAAGTGGAAATGTCACGTTACAACAGACAATTAGAAAGCTAAAGTTCAGACTCAGCGACGGGGAGGATGAGAGTGAGAAACCTTTTAAACACGCCCAGGGAAAGGGCTGATATTAGAGGCACATTGTTACCTGCAGATAACATCTTCTTTCTGAAAAAGACACCATAGCAATGAAACAGAACTACAGTGAAAGATACACGTGAAGGAAACCATCCCGAAGGAAGATTTGCATCTGCCTGACTCCCTGAGGACCAGGCAGAATTATGTGAGGAGCGTCAAAGCCCATCTATGTCCTGATGAAAATGATGTTTTCAAGAAAAAAGAAAATCCTACCCACATCCCAACAGGAAAAACAGGTTACCTGTGAAGGATGCTAAGTCACGCTAGTCTTGGACATCCCTGCTGTAATGTTAAATTTTCAGAAGATAAAGTCTCTACACTCTGAGAGGAGACGGTCACGGCCACAGGCAGGAAGTCTCAGAGGATCTTGCTATGGCTTTGGACGGAAGCTGTTTATTGGTCCCAAATCACAGAGAACCTCAAATGCCAGCTCTTTGCAGTGAAAGTCAGGAACAAAACAAGCAAGTCTACTGCTCGGTCTTCAACATTTCAGGGAAGTTCTAGCTAATTCGATGAAAGAATGAAAGGTGCTAACATCTGCGGAGAGACCAAAGACTAAGAACAGATTGTTCCCACAAAGAAACACCAGGTAAGAGCTATAAACCTGGAAGGATGCCCAACCTTGTTAGACACGAGGAAAACGCAAAGCACGAGGTTTCCGAAACCTAACAGGACTGACAGCATCCTGGGTTGGCCAGGAGGAGGACTCCTGTGCACTGTGTTGGACTAACGAAGTCTTCCTGGGGGTGTCTCTGGGCGTGTCTAGCAATGCTTACACCCCAGCCCCTCCCCACTCCTAGGAAGCTGCTCCGTGGGAATGCTCGTCCATGCATAGAGACGTGTGAGCACGGGGTTTGCAGGAAGAAAAACCTGGAAAGAACCACCAGCAAGCAGTCTACCCACATCCTGTCCAGGGCAACTTCCAAACTGGGCCCCCTGCCTCACCTGACCGCACTGTGGTCCACACGGGGCAAGTGAGCTCCTCTCTCCCCTGGGTGCACAGCTCAGCCCTGCTCTGCACAGGGGCCCGCAGCTCAGCGAGGCCTCCAGCTGCCTCCTGGGATCTCCCATACAGCCACCCCCTTGGCCCAGGCACTGTGCTCCGACCTGGGGACCTCGCATTTGCTGCTCCCCGGTGCCCGCAGCTCAGCGAGGCCTCCAGCTGCCTCCTGGGATCTCCCGTGCAGCCACCCCCTTGGCCCAGGCACTGTGCTCCGACCTGGGGACCTTGCATTTGCTGCTCCCTGGTGCCCGCAGCTCAGCGAGGCCTCCAGCTGCCTCCTGGGATCTCCCGTGCAGCCACCCCCTTGGCCCAGGCACTGTGCTCCAACCTCGGGGACCTTGCATTTGCTGCTCCCTGGTGCCCACAGCCCTTGTCCGGCAGGCGGCCTGACCGTCCTGCACAAACAGCACTGCCTTCTCCCCGGCCCTGCCAGCCCGGCATCCCCTTCTCAGCTTTCTCTCCCGTGGCACCGACACTGCCCGACTGCACACTGACGCGTGGGTGCTTTTGCTGACGGCTGTACCCCAGGGCCTGGCACGTGGTGTGAAGGCATAAACTCTGGGACATCTGCACTGTGGAATACTATGTACTCCATCAAAAAGACGGAGACCAGACACACTGATGTGGGAGGACTCTGGGGCATAAACGGACAAGTCACAGAACAGCGGGAGCGACAGTAAAAATGACAGGGAGCACTTTGCAGGGCTCGGCGTGCGCCAGCACTGCTCCAGGGCTGTTTCTGCTGATCAACTTGCTCTGACTGTGCACAGCACTGAGGGCCACTGTGCTGGCAGAGAACGGGACAGCCATCTTTCCTGCCCTCACGGAGCTTACATCCTAGTGGGGAAAACAGACCATCAAGAGGGAAAGATGCATAGAGCAGATTAAGGGTAAGCGCTAACAGAAAGAAGCAGAGCAGGAGCCCAGGAGGCGTGTGGGAGCAGCGGGCGTGAATTGGGAAGGGTGGCCAGGGAAGGCCCATGGATAAGTGATGTCTGGCCTTGCACCCCCATGTGGTGGTGATTCAGAGCCCCTTGGCCTCCCTCTCCCCACGGCCTGCAGCCCCTCACTGCCCCCGGCCACCGCTAGGCACACACCCACGCGGCCCTCCTGGCTCCACACCTGAGGCCGTCAGAAGACTCTGGCTCTGCCGGACGCCTGTGACCTTGGATGAAGCGCCACGCCACGGGGTGCGGCCTGCTCCCCCGGCTGCTGCCGAAGGGCCCGCTGAAGCAGCCAGAACCCAGGGACATGTACTCCCTGGGTGAGCTCGGACCACAGCACCCATCCCCCTCCACCCCTCCCTCGAATAGACTGTCCTGGAGCTTTTCTTTGTGTCCTTCCTTCCTTTTTTTTTTGATAGTTTTTTGGATGAGGCCCCAAGGGGCTGAGCGGCCCGCTGAGTGTCTGTGAAGCAGGGGGTCAACGCATGTGTGCCTGTGTGTGTGTGTCACAGCCTTCTCTTCTGCACTCCCCTCTCCCTCACTCCAGCTGTCCTGGGATTGCACCTCCCAGGGAAGCACGAGCATTTTTTTTTCTTTTTTTCTTTTTTGAATTTTATTTTATTTACTTTTTTATACAGCAGGTTCTTATTAGTCATCCATTTTATACCCACCAGTGTACATGTCAATCCCAATCTCCCAATTCATCGCACCAGCACCCCCACCTGCCACTGCTTTCCCCCCTTGGTGTCCATACGTTTGTTCTCTACATCTGTGTCTCAATTTCTGCCCTGCAAACCGGTTCATCTGTACCATTTTTCTATGTTCCACATATATGAGTTAATATGCGATATTTGTTTTTCTTTCTTACTTCACTCTGTATGACAGTCTCTAGATTCATCCACTTCTCTACAAATGACTCAATTTCGTTCCTTTTTATGGCTGAGTAATATTCCATTGTATATATGTACCACATCTTTTTTATCCATTCGTCTGTCGATGGGCATTTAGGTTGGTTCCATGACCGGGCTATTGTAAATAGTGCTGCAATGAACACTGGGGTGCATGTGTCTTTTTGAATTATGGTTTTCTCTGGGTATATGCCCAGTAGTGGGATTGCTGGGTCGTATGGTAATTCTATTTTTAGTTTTTTAAGGAACCTCCATACTGTTCTCCATAGTGGCTGTATCAATTTACATTCCCGCCAACAGTGCAAGAGGGCTCGCTTTTCTCCACACCCTCTCCAGCATTTGTTGTTTGTAGATTTTCTGTTGATGCCCATTCTAA